GTTGGTATTATGACTGGTTATTGTTGACAGATGTCCAAGCTATAAAAGAAACACAACTTTAGACATGTGTGTCGACTACATGTGTCGTTAGCGCCATCCATGTGTAAAACCCGGAAACTTAGTTGCGCACCTAGTAAAACTACAAATTATTTATGTATATATATATATATTTGTTATTATATATATATATATATATATATATATATATAAATTTTAATATTATTTAATTAAAATTTTAATTTTATATATATTTTATATATATATTATTATTATATTATTATTTTTCATTGGCATTGGAAATATATACAAAATAAATATTTGACATAATGTATGCCAACGCTCGTATGTGAGTAAAGTTTATGAAAATAGTCCTCTATTATTTTGCAAATAACCACGATAATTGTTCCTCTTTGATTTACAATATTAATCTTGTTGTTACAATAAACGAAATGAAGAAAGGAATTTGAATAAATCGATCGCGAATGAAAGAAGCTGCACGTTGCTCGTGCTTTAATCGATCACAACATTCCATTTTTTCAAATGAACGAGCGAGCGAAAGAGCATCATAAACGTGTGTGAAAAATAAAATGCGTGCCAAATAGATTGCTTTTTGTTTTATGTTTTACTACTGTCGACTTACTAACGAGTTACAATCATTTAAAATCGCGGCATCAACGTCAGACTTCTGCTCGTCGTTAACGCCAGACTGTGTCACCTGCTGTCGTGTCGACACTATGTTTTCGCACTATCCTCTTTCTAAAATGAAGTGAACAACCACGTGGTCGCAATGACCACATGGTCGGTGCGACTTTGCTTACCCGAACCGCGGAGTAACGAACTTTGCTCTTTGTATGTCATCACGTACAGCGTAAGCTGCTTTCGTGAAAACAATAGCTGTAAAATACGGTTATTGTTTTTTTATACATCGCGTGTTGTGAGCTACACAGCGCGCTGCACTAGTAAGACTGGTCGATTGAGAGCACAGATCAATACAGATATCAATAACTAGTCATAGTAATTTTAAACAAAAACGATAGAAAAAGTGATATCTCGCTTCTATGGACATAAAATTGTTTTTCTGCGAAATAAAGATCAAATTGCGCAATCATACAAGCATGAAAAACATCGGTTTTTATGTTTGCATTACAGTGAAGATTAATTTAAGTTAAGAACTAATGGAAAACCTTAGTTTTTTGGATTCGTAATGCGTCTATTTTATGTTTTTGACAAATATAAAAGGCAATTTAAAAGAAAAGCAAATAAGAACGATAATAACAAGAACTTTTTATTTCTAGTGAATATTTTGCAACTGTTCGAATAACAAAATAAATTTAGCTTTGGAAACAACCATATTAACTGTTCCTATTTCAGTATGACATATCTTAATTACCACAGCTATATTCTCATAATTCAATCTCTTTTCTGTATGTAAAGCCCGCCCGTCACGCTTTCGCGATGGTGCGATGCTTATAGTTCATAGACGTGAGATGCGGGGTAGACCGTTTTCTCCCCCTTTGTATTATCAGGAGAATTCAGCTCTTTTCCTCTTCTTGTCGCGTGAAAAAGTAACAAGATGCCAGCTGACGACTGACGTCACTCGGCGAAACCGGCGCGATACTGGAATTAACATTTAAAACAGCGACTGAATCTTATCGATCCGAGTTGTGCATTTTGCAGTTAAATATAGATAATCGTTTCGGGCGTGCTCGTTTCCGCACTGTAACTGGATCTGTGAAAAATGTGATTCGCGGATAAGCGAAGATGAGAGGGTAACTTTCCGCGGTGAAGAAAGTTAAGAGACAAGGCGCGCATCGGTGCTCGCATTGTGCCGTCGACTGTCGCGGATATCTCATTCTGATTCGCAGTCTGACTCGAGGACATGAAATTCCGGTTGTATGTTGCGGAAGAACATGACGTTTCTATCATTGACGCGTTATAACGATATCGAGTCTGCGACAATCGTTCCTGTTAGACATCACCGTGAAGGAGAACTACTCGGAATCGTGTTCGCGTTGAACGCATCTTCACACGCTATTCTAGCCAGATATCGTCATTAGCATTCCATTATTTGGAGCATGAAATATTCCTCGTCGACTCTGACGGATTTAAGTGAAGCTTTCGAGGCAGCTAAAATAAATGCTTGACGTTGTACGTGTGCGTTTTTTTCTCCATATCTGTCTGCATTCAAATTTAAAATATGATGTGTTCGAACGAAACTTTTATCCTAAAATATATATCAACTCAATTATATACTCGCGTGCAAAATTTCATGGAATTTGATCAGGATCTAGCTCGACTTTCCAAAATATTTATGAGTTTTAATTAGAAATATAATATTTCAAACGTGAGATTTTAAGCGGGGAAAATTTTCCAATATTTATTTCTGACCTTTATTTTACGTTGCAATTAAATAAAATATGTCGACTTTTTAAATAATTTCATTATTCAGTGCTCAAAAAGTGTTTAAAAAGTATTTAAAAAATATTTTATCTTTTATATTTCACTTTATTGAATACAATAGTTGGTATAAAAGTAGAATTCTTTATTTGAAATCATAAAAGTATTTTACCGACAATAAAAAAGGCGACTAAAAAAAGCACAAGTTCTATGGTAATTTTGTCTCAACTCTAGATAGAAAAGCCATGCTTGGGACAAGAATCCCAATTTGGTGTCGTAATGGGATAATTAATTTTAGAATAAATTTGAACATTCTAATCCGAATCTATATTTTTTACCTAGGAAAAAAATTGCTGTGCGAGCTACAATTTCGTAAAATAACAAACTTATAAAAATGAAACATTGTGGAATAATTAAATGTACCATCAAGTGCTTAAATTACTTCGTGACCCTCTATTTCTCGGACGTTGTAACGAAAGTCGGTGACAGTGTAATGAAAAGTTCATCCCTGGGGCTTATCTCCGGCGGGAATATTTCTTTCATATTAATTATTCTCGACAGGGGATAACGATGCGCGAAAACTCGTAATGTCCCGGGCGTGAGATGGAAAAGAATCTCTGGCGGGTCAATCCGAAATAGTCAGACGGCTTTAGCGAGACGGCAGACCGGGCTGCTCGATGGCTGTCCGATGGTTGAGCCAAATTGAAAATTTCACGCCTGATGGTACGCCCGTCCGTGATCCGAAGGGGTTTCATCGACAGATGCTGAGGATTTTGCATAACCCTTTGCCCTCTCGCGAACTTGAAGCGCGAGGAGAAAATATTGCTGGAACCGCGCGCACGTTCAGGGATTTATTATTGATATTTCCCGGCTTCTGAATTCTGAGAAGTCGAACGGTATTTCCGCTCAGTCTGCTGCGCCATAGAAAGGACTAGAATAAATCGCGAAGTCGAGGGGAGCGTTTCCCTTAGTTCCTCGCCGCGTTAGTGATGAGAGTGGAAATCTTTATTCGGGCGCAACGCAGATGCAGCCCAAGTTGTTTTGTAGCTCTAATTCCCTCTGTATACGCGTGCATACTTCGTCACAGAAGACGCGCATTTTTCGCGAAATCACGCATGCTCGAGCGCCGGAAACTCAAGATTCGAGAAAATATTTATCTACCTAAAAGTATGCATTAAAAGGACGATGTGTTCGGTCAAATTACGATAGCAGACAGCGTACTCGCAGAGAAATTTTCGCGGCCCTGAAAAAAAGCGCGCAAAACAAGTCGTGTGTCAAATCGGCCTGTGTACATGTGTACACTTTGTTCACAGGCGGAAGATTCGTGGTTACATCGCAGGGTGATCTTCATATCAGGGCCGCCAGACCAGAAGACGGCAGAGCGACGTACTCGTGTCTGACCCTGCATGCTTTAACTAGCGAGCGGAAAAGAAGCGAACCCGCCAGTCTAACAGTCACAGGTAACCGCCAAAATCGGGTCAATCTTTTTCGAGATAGAACTTCTAAATGAAACTCGTTTTACTTTGACCTTAATCAGTTGCCGTCGATTAGTTTTCACACAGTGAAACTTTCGGGCGAATAATATCTTTTATATTATACATACATATCCCTTTTAAATTTATAATTCCTGCTTCATTCGCAGAACCACCCGGTTCCACGCCACCGCGATTGATGCAACGGTCGGAGATCGCTATTTCGGCCGAGAGCGGCTCCGACGTTCACCTCACGTGCTCGGCGCAAGGAAGCCCACCGCCGCAATTTACCTGGTATCGCGATGTTAATGGTTGGTTTAATTAGGGGAATGTTTACCGAATAAGCTGTGTTAAGGGTAGCACCGAACAAACGACCGGTTATGCTCAAACATCGATTGCTCGATAGCACGGATATCGTATTATGTTTAAGCAGTGTCGTCGCACAATGAATATTATGCGCCGCGGAGGAGAGAGAAAAGGAAAACGCTGCAACACGAACAAATAATATCACGTTGTCTTTAGCAATAAGCAAAGAGATGCTATCAAAAAGATACAAAGGATAAGATATAAAGGAACGTCCACTTGTGAAACGAGCTGTCGAGAATCATTCATGTTTTATGTGTCGAATCATTTCCAACATGTGAATCTCTATAAAAAATGCTCTTGCAATCATATTTAGTGAAAATGATTTAGATACGGAAATTTAGCTAAGATGGATAAATGACTAGTAAATACTGTGATATCGCATATTTTATATTTCATCAATATAGATGACACAAACAGAATTTCTGTCTCAACTATTTGGGAAATTTAGCAAGAAGGTTTCTCTTTCTCTCTGTGGTGTTCATTCAGATCAAAATCGATCACACTTCTTATAAAAATGGACTGTGATAATTTTAAGCGTGACACTTAGAATTTTACCTGGACCAGCGAAATAATTTTTTTAGCATAACGTTAAATGCATTGTCGGGGTGACATCGCGTAGACACGAACGGTATAGGACAGTTACATGCAAATGTCTTGTCGCAGGCCACTCGATACCGGTCGAATCGTTCGGCCGTATCCAGCTCTGGGGTGATTTAATGCTAATTCGTCGCGTAGACGCGCAGGACGCTGGAAGATACGTTTGCCGGGCCAGCAATCAACTCGGCGAGCAACGAGCGGAGACGCACTTGTCCGTCACTTCAAAGCTAAACGCTCGGATTCAGCCGCGTGTGCAGGTATGGACAGAGTAGTCTGATTTGTGCGAACGAACGGCGATAATATGAGCAAACGGATTCCGTTTCGAATTCCGAGATTTTAGGAGCCAAGCGGAGAAAATTTCTGCCATTTAAAAAATCACTGAGCTTCCGCGGAAATGCATCTGTATCGTCATTCAACGAAAGCTACTTAACCAATAAGCTCGGAGAAACAATTATTAGTTACAAATCTGGCATTAAATCCACTTACGTGAAATCAATGTTCTAATTTCGCTGCGCGATAGTGTGACGGAAAATCGGGTTAAATGATAATTAATTAACGATAACATCGGTAATATTAAATTACTAATGAAACAATTATGGAATTATGCTACACGGCGATTAAATTCATCAGATTGTTGTCTCTCTCGCAGGGAAAAATAACTCGCTAAATTATAACGGGAATAAACTTCGAGGAAACGGCTTCTTTTTGAATATTTTTCTGCTTCACCGCGCACTCGAGAGAACCGAGGAGGGAACTGGGTGCTCGTGAAAATCGCGCGAATAAACCTGACTCGACCTTCTGAACTGCGAGATGCAGACAGATAGATTCGCTTGTCGTCATTCGCAGGTCATTAATTCCGGCGAGACCGCTACGATGAACTGCACGGTCGAGGGATATCCGGTCGAGAGCGTTGAGTGGCTGCACGACGGTATACCAGTATTGACCGCACAGGACACGAGGATCAGATTGTTGGCTCCCTTGGTGCTCGTGATAGGCTCTGTCGGTCGCAGGGACAAGGGGATGTATCAGTGTTTGGTGAGGAGCGACAAGGAAAACGCGCAGGCCACCGCTGAACTCAAGCTTGGAGGTTAGTGAGCGCACATCTTTTGTTCTTTTCTTTTCTTCAAATACGCGTTAAACCCCGTAACGTACTAGCGACTGGCGGCTGCGTCTGTGTCGCGTTTGTGTCCACTAGAGTTTCTCTAGTCAAGATTAGAACAAAGCATGATGATTCCTGATTGGTCTGTATCCTGTTCATCACGTTTAGGGGTGATGTAAATGGGAGTAAGAGAGAGACAGAGACAGACAGAAAGAGAAAGAGAGAGAGAGAGAGAGAGAGAGAGAGAGAGAGAGAGAAACTAGTAGGAATAGGAGAGAAGTTTTAAGACTATGAAACATGCTGCAGTTTCTCTCTCACTCACTCACTCATTCATTCATCCATTTCTTTCCTATAAATGACGAACGATGTCCTAACTCTGACTTGAGGAACTCTGGCGCCTACAATTGTCTCATGACCAATAAAAAGGAGCTGCTGATGATCGCGATTTGCGATTCTCCTTTAGCTATCCGCCTATTTGTCATAATCGTCAGCAGCTCCTTCTTGTTTGATCAAGAAACAATAGTGGATACAAACGTAGCAGACGTAGTCGCCAGTGTGATACAGGCTTTAAACCGGGCTCTCGCACGTTTACTCTTATCTACTTTTGCACCGGTTTGTAGATATCTATGTGGTACACTCCCTATTGGATTTTACTATTCTGAACTCTTGTTTCAGTTCGATTTTTCTTTTTTTATTTTCATCAGTTCGGACTTTTTTATCGAACGACCTAGATAAATAACGTTAATTTTTCTGAAGTTATCGAAAAGCTATCGCGGCTATTTTTTGCCTCTAGAACACCTCTGAAAATAAATTTTCAGACACGGTTCCGGAGCTGCAATACACATTTATCGAGCAAGCCCTGCGACCGGGCCCGCCAGTCTCTCTGCGGTGTTCAGCTACCGGCTCACCGACTCCATCCTTCACGTGGTTGCTCGACGGCGAACCACTGAGCCAAATTGCGACTGGGCACAGGTAGGATGTACCTATATTCAAGCGGTAACGTTATACCCTACTGTCTTCTAATCAACTACTGTACATGCAGATACGCGATAGGCCAATACGTGGATCAATCCGGTGACGTGATCAGTCACTTAAACATTTCATCGGCGGGGACCGAGGACGGTGGGCTGTACGCTTGCGTTGCGTCCAACACTTTGGCGACCGTCGAACACAAAGCTAGATTGAACATTTATGGTACGATAGGAGAGTGTTTACGCGAGAAGAACATAGTTCGCCATTAAATGCACGAATTTGCGTATAATTTACATTTTATGTGAAACGCACAAACATAATCGTATTGAAAATCAAAGTGACCTTTAGATATGGAAACATCAAATAAATGCGATACAAACGTGAATTTGCGTTTCTGCAAAATCAGTGTGACATTTGCATTAAATAGGACATGGATGGCTAAACATAGATTTGTTAAATTTACGTCCATCGAGAATAGATCGTATTTATCTACATACAGAAATATGGAGATGTGAAAACCAGACCGAAGAGAAATGCCGATTAAATCAGAACGCGCCAATTCGCGTGAGAGCGAATTAAGTCGCAGTCACTTCGTATAATAAGAAGCTCCATTTTTAGGACCGCCGTACATCCGATCGATCGGCCCGGTTCGCGCCATCGCCGGTGTCGACATCACAATAGCGTGTCCCTACTCAGGATATCCGATCACATCGGTCGAGTGGACTCGGGGTGGTGCCGAGTTGCCCTTTGACATCAGGCACCGAGTCGACAGCGAGGGCCACCTTACGATCGTCACGGTAGATCCGAATGACGCCGGCACCTATACCTGTATAGTCCGAGCTAGTTCCGGAGAGACCACCAATAGAGATATACTTCTGACCGTCAACAGTAAGTGAAAATGAGAGAGTGAGTGAGAGAGAGAGAGAGAGAGAGAGAGAGAGAGAGAGAAAGAGTAAATGAGAACAAGTTAAGCGACATATCCTTAATTAAACGCATAATCGACGAATTAAAGCATCTAGTACATCGAATATTACGCGTTTGAAAAACGAGATTTTGGTGTAAAAAATCGTAGCATTTTAAAGCTTTGAGATGAACCAAGAGGATCGATATAACAGAACGCGGAGTTGTGGAAGGAGTGACGATGTGTACAGCACTTTCGCCAGTACACTGAGAAAAAATATATATGAGAATTTATTCGAAATATATTAAGTTTATCTCTGAAATAAAGTTTAATTTTACGAATAAAGTTTATATCTCACAAATAAATGCCCAAATATCTCTTTTCCTCAGCGTATGTACTTTGCAGGTCCACCGGTAATGAGTCCCTTCAGTTTCCCCGCGAATTCGCAAGAAGGCAGTCGCGCTCAAGTGACGTGCAGCGTAACGTCGGGCGATCTGCCGATCCATATCTCCTGGTTGAAGGATGGCGAACCACTGCCTTCTTCCCTTCGCGTAAGTTTTATCATTGTATCGCTCGACGACTTTCGTCTTACTACTTCTACGTTCGATAATTTCTCGCGATATATGTCAATAATATCCCGACTAGGGACACACACACACTTTGTATCACACTAGTGAAACCAAACGAATTGAAATTTCATTTAAAAGCTATGCACATATTTTATCTACAAACGCTGCTTTGGCGATCCTTATATTTTTCCTCAGCGTTCTATCTCGTGGAAACGAAAATACGTATTTTCTGGTAATGAAAGTCCCGCGGGGGATTTACATTTTCTGTGAATGATGTTATTCAAACAAATCCCGGGATGAAATTTTAAATGCGATATATGATAAGAAGGCACTTGGCTGTCGTGATTTCAAAAATATCACGCAAAAAAATGAGGACGTCGGTTTCGTTTCTCGTTCTTTCTTGACTCAATGATTTTGGATATTTTTGCACACATTAATCTAATTTATCTGCTTTTGGTTAGATCGATGAGAACAACGCAATATTTTTTCCTTTTCCTCTACTCGCTTCTACTCGCCGTGGTATATGGGATATATTGGATTATGACGTCAAAAGCGAGGAATGACATGTTGAAAATTCTTGCCGTTTTCAAATAAAAAAATATTTGCAAAGAACGCTTGAACATATTTATAAAGTGTCCCAAAAATTATTCTTTTCCTTTGATAGTCAATAAATAGACCAATAAATAGACCAATAAATAGATGTGGCAAAATCATGAAGAAAGATAAGTTGAAGAGGAAGGTTACATGTAACCTTTAATTTTATAGCTATTTTAATATTTTTTTTATACAAATATTTTTTTATTTAGAAATAGCGTGTAAGAATTTTAGACATGCGTTCTGACGTCATCAGTTCCGTGCATTCAAAAGTCTCGAAATGTTCGGTACCAAATGTTCTTATTTTTGTTATCAAACGTGTTCTTGTCACATAGATTGAAGAACGAGGCGCCGAGTTCTTCAGCCTGCTTGTCTTCAAGGAACTATCATCGCGGCATAGCGGCAAATACACCTGCGTGGCCACGAACAGTGCCGCCAAGGTCAACCACACAGCGGAGCTCTTGGTAAAAGTACCCCCTCAGTGGATATTTGAGCCACAGGACGTGGCTACTCTCCTGGGCAATCCGCTGAACGTTCATTGCGAGGCCAAAGGTTTTCCGCCGCCGCGTATCACATGGCTACGTGCCAGAGGCAGAACGTCCAACGATTATCAGCCGCTGGTCGATGGTTCCGATGGTAGACTCACGATATTGCCTAATGGGTCTTTGTGGACGGCTTCCGCCGGCCCGCAGGATGAGGGTTACTATCTGTGTCGGGCTAACAATGGAATCGGATCAGGGCTAAGCAAAGTGATATACGTGTCTGTGCACGGTAAGAGTGCGATTAACGTTACAAATTGCGGACTAATTAGCGACGATGATTTAGTGCGAGACAATGGGGCCTAATTGTTTCCCAGTGATGCAGTGAAGATTCGGTTATTCGATAAATATACGAAAAATATATTGATAACACTTTGTGAATTTGTTCTCCAAAAATATTGTTAAATCAAGAATGACACGTGTGATATTTTTCTACCGTCTAGTAATAACGTCATCTTTTCGCTGATCATCAGCCAATTCACTTCTGACCTCGCATATTTTCAAATTACTACCATGACAAGCTGCGATAAAATAATAGTAGACGTATATTTATGATCTCTGTTTGCACAGAGCCGGCGAGATTCGAGTTCCAGAGTAAGAACGTGACGATTCGCCGCGGGGAGTCCGTAACCATCGACTGCACCGTGATCGGTGATAATCCTATAGAGGTGCAATGGATGCACAACAGCGATCGGCTGGACATGAGCAACCATAGATTAAGCATCGGTGAGATAAAGACTGACAACGGCCTGAAGTCGCAACTGTCCGTCGCGAACAGCGATCGGCAAGACTCCGGAGTCTACAGGTGCACCGCGAGCAACGCTTACGGAAGAAGCGAGCACTTGATTTACTTAGCGGTGCAAGGTGAGCGCGTCACTCGTCGGATATTTCTTCAATTTTTTTATCTGCCGCGTTTGTCGATTACCAGCGAGATTATCAGCGACAAAAAAAGTTTGCTGTATTTCCTACAGAGAGGCCGGATCCCCCAGCCGGATTAGAGGTAATAGAGATCGGTTCTCGATCGATACGCTTGCTGTGGAAGCGATCTTTCGACGGCAACAGTCCCATAAGAAATTACGTGATACAATATCGCTCGTTGAGCCACGGTATGACCGATGATTGGAATCCCGTTAAAACGCACAACGTCACGTACACGCCGGGAAGCTTCAATAGCGGTAATTCTATACATCCGACCCAAAATGGTTCGTCCACATTCGCCCGGATCGATGTCGTCTATTTGTGTCTTGTTCCGTAACTTATATCAATTCTAGGGTTATCGCCGTTCGAGAGCACGAGCGATGACCAAGAGGTGGCTCTAGTCGGCAGCCTTCATCCGGCTGTCACCTACACCTTCAGGATATTCGCTATAAACTCTATCGACGCGAGCGGACCCACAGAGCCCGTGGTGGCGAAGACGCAAGAGGAAGGTAAGTAGCTCGCGCGACAACGCGATCGTATGACAGAAACTTCACATCGTCGTAACATTGCTCCTATGTAATAGCGCCCACAGAGCCGCCGCAAAACATCAAAGTGCAATCCGCCGGACCCGGAGAACTCATGGTTAGCTGGCAGGTGGGTAATGTCGTCAATTTTCGAGGAACGCAAGACACCTTATGATCGATATCAAAGTTAATGTTCTCCGAGTAAATCGAGATATCGCGTCGCGACAACGCGATATCGCGGAGAAAATTACGGAAAGGATTGCGGAAAAAACTGTGCGAGAATGTATGATAAAATTATGAATGTGCAACAAAGCCCAAATAATGATTGGCCGAGCTGGATATTGAAGAAGGCAGAAGGAATGATAGGATTTGTAATTTTCTCCGAGTAAATTACGTGACGATAAGCGTGAGATTGAACAGATTTTAAGATGCGCAACACATTTTACAGCCACCGCCAAAAGAATCCTGCAACGGAGATCTGCTAGGATATATAGTGACATGGTCGGAGCATTCATCGTCAACTTCGGGCGTAAATCAGAGTAAGAGCTTGACTGTGAACGGCTGGGCGACGACAAAGGTGCAGCTGACTGGCCTAAGGAAATTCACCAAGTACGACATTTCGATTCGAGCCTTCAACAGCATAGCTAGTGGGCCAACGAGCTCTCCCATCGTTGGTACTACTCAAGAAGGAGGTACGACACGACGGTGTGTGTAAAATGAAAGACACATTTGTATCTTTGTTCATCTCTTTGCAGTACCGGAAACGCCGCCGACTCAAGTTACGTGCGCTCCATTATCTTCGCAAAGTGTCAAAGTGTCTTGGACTGCACCGCCTCTTCACCAGCACGGTGGAATTATCATAGGATACAAAGTCTATTACAGACCCGTGCCTACCGATAACAGTAAGTCGCTCGCGATCAGAACAAGAGCTGACCAACAAGTCAGACTCTCGGCATGTCCTCAATCAAAATGTCTTGTTGCAGTGGACATATCGACGATCGGTGAAGTGAAGAAGACCTCCAGCATGGAAACTTACTTGCACACGTTGTACAAGTACACGAATTACTCCATCAAGGTGTTGGCCTACACGAAAGCGGGCGATGGAGCGTTGAGCCCACCGATCTTCTGCATGACAGAGGAAGATGGTGAGATATTCGATTTAAGTTTCATTGGAGGTTTCGCAATAAGTTTCCGGGACAAAACCGCGCGTTCTTTTCATAGTTCCTGGTCCACCTGCCGGCATCAAAGCACTCGCGTTAACGGCGGAGAGTATATTGGTCTCGTGGCTGCCACCGTTGCAGCCTAATGGAAACGTCTCAAAATATACGGTGTACAGCAGAGAAGCCGGCTCGAAAAAGCACAACGCGCACACAATGCACGAACCGCCGTTGTCACCCACGGATACTCTCACGATGGAATTACGAGATCTGGTGGAAAGGTACGCGTGATTATCGCGATGTACTGCAAGATATCACTTTCTCGTCACTGAATTTTTATTATGAGTCGAACGTTAATCTTTCAGACAATTATACGAATTCTGGGTGTCGGCGACGACCAGTGTCGGGGAAGGAGAACAAACCATTATAGTTACGCAGACAACGAATACCAGAGGTGCTTGCGAATCACATATTCGAAAGAATTCGGATTTGAATGCAAATCTTTCAAATTTCGAAATTTAGTCAATGTATTGCATGCATAGCACTTTCCTTCGTGTAATTTTCTCTCTAATCTAACTTCCTCGTATAATAGTAAAAGCATAGAACTCATTCCGTAGCTCCCGCCAGAGTGGCATCGTTTTCGCAAGTATTGAGAAGGGCTGTGAAGTCGTCAGTCATGTTGTCGTGCTTGGTAGTGGGAAATCCTACGCCACGACCTATCTGGACGTACAGAAACGGTCAAATCTCTACCGGCAGGCATTACGAAATCACACACGACGGACACCTCAATATACGCGGTATACAATTAATTTTTTAATTAATTTTTCAATTTTACATAGCTTGCAAAGCTAGCGTGTCCTTATATTAATTGATCAAGTATGCAGAATACAAAAAATTTTATCAAAAATTTTGAATCGAACTAATTTCTCTCCAATAATTTTCTTTTTCTTTTCAGGATTGGAACAGTCGGTCACAGGGAATTATACTTGTTCGGCCAGCAACCTGTTTGGCGACGATTCCATCACATATTCGTTAGTCGTTGTAATGCCGCCCAAAGCACCGTCGTTGGAGCTACAATATACGACGACCAACAGTATCAGATTCCGATGGAATCATCCTGACAACGGCGGTGCTACTATACAAGGTAATAACAAAGAAGAAGCTAGCTATCATGAACCAGATATGTGTAACAAAGATATCTTTGTATTAGGATACGTGTTGAGTTATAAGAGGGATCAAGGTGGTTGGGAAGAAATCACATTGTCCCCCGAGCAGATGGAGTTCGTGCTCTCCGGATTAAAGTGTGGCTCGTCCTACTTAGCGCACTTGACGGCGCATAATCGCGTCGACACGGGCGATCCGAGTCCACTGATTAGCGCAACAACGAAAGGCACCGGTAAATCAAATGCACCTCAACTAATTGGAACTGTGAAATTTATCTAACTGCGAAATCGAATTCTTCTCAGTCGAAAATGTAACTCGCGATTATCCCCAGCTCTCTTTCAATCTAATATACATTTTTAAACTGTCAATTTTAACTTGCATTTCAGCGCCTCTACTGCCTAAGGAAAGAGACATCATCTCGGCGAATGGTACATCAGTGAAATTGAATCTATTATCTTGGCCTAACGGAGGGTGTCCCATTCAATATTACACCGTGGAATATCGCCGACGAATTAGTACGGAGCCGTGGATTTTGGTAGCCAGCAGAGCGACCGAGAATCTCATTATCCGTGATTTGAAAACGGCGTCGTGGTACAGTCTACGTTTGACTGCACACAATGATGCGGGCTCGACTCAGACACAGATGGAATTTGCTACGACCACGTTGAGCGGAGTCAGTATCGGTCCGCCTAACGACTTGATAATGGAGGACGACGTCAAGAAGACTGTGCCTAATCACAAAGTTTTATATGTCGTCGTGCCGCTCATCTGCGGGATTGTATTAGCCGTCTCCGCGGTTATCCTAGGATACGTCATGCTCAAGCGTAGCGGCAGGTAAGGCAAGATTCGATTTCAAGGCGATTTAATTTCGCAACGAAAATTTATTAATCGTGATTTCAATATCGCTCAAAAGAGCGAGTTATTTAGGCGAGATGCTGCCAGGACAACAACAACAACAACAGACGGGATTGGGAATGGTTCCGCAACAACAACATCAACAGCAGCATCATCACCTGTCAAGCTGCATGTCAACCGTGCAACTCAAATCGACCGCTGAACGTGACAACAGACGCAATCACCAGGTCTACACCAGTTCCCCCGTGAAGCAGGAGAACCACAAAGCCACCGATCATGGATCGGGTAATTTGATATATTATTCGAATATAAATTAAAATATATTTGAATTAAATTTTGAATTGTATGTAAGTAAAAATGATTATTTTTCTGGCAATTAAATACAATGAATTATTTCTCTCATAGATATAATTCAACAATGCTTCGTCATTTTTCGCAGAGATGTACGAGATTAGTCCGTACGCCACATTCAGCGTTCCCGGAAGAGAAAACCGCTCGGTGACAACGGCGACGCTCGATTACACGATGCAGTTCAAGACGTTCGGCCACTTGGAGAACGAGGATATCAATACTATTGACTACGAGAGATCTAGCGTGGAGTTCGAGAGGTAATTGGCTTCCTCCTGCGTCGCTGCTTAGCTCGATCGCCGCGTCTCAACACAAAAATCGACCACCTAACGCTCGATCCCGCTTTTCGCACCTCCGCCTTCCTCATCTTCTCTTCCTCTTTCTGGTATTCTTTCACACGCAGGTCGAAAACACCAAGGTGGCACAAGCAACGCTACTTTCCGAGCATTGCGGAAGCCGAGAGCAAGCTGCGATCGAGTCGACAGGGCTCCGGGAGCGACACGTCCGGGAGTCCCTGCGGCGAATGCGCCGGGCCTAGTTATAGAGTGCCAGTAAAGCCTTGTAGAGGTATAATTTCTGTTCTCTCTGTAGATCGATCGTCGAAAAGAATCGCGCACACGGAGAAAAATAATTTTGCTCTTTTAACAAAATCGTCGTTGCTACTGCATATTCATAGTGACATCAAACAAATTTAGTTGACGTAACTAATTTTACAAATTATTCGTTATCAGAGCAGAAGTAGTTTCGTTGCCAGGATAGAAAAAATTTATTGAGTGTATTTGTCCTAAAAATCACGTTAACTTGCTATTGCTGCAAAATAATGTATCCTTAGCAAATTTATTTCCTATCGGAACAAAACTACAACTGCTTATGATTCTAAATAATCACAACTCTATTGTGGTTCTAAATAATTTGTAGATTCAGCAAATTATATCTAGCAAATAATGATTAATATTCTTAGCAAATCTTTTTGCTGTTCATATAATAACGAAAAGATTTTACTAGACTAGCAGAAAATTTGCTGGGCCAGCAAATTATTTTTCTCCGTGCAAGCCGACTGTTGTGCGGACGAATATAATTGACGATTTGTTGCAGATGTATTTTCGCGAGGTGTGGAATCGAGTACGGAGTCCAACAACGAAGGCTCGCCCTCACTCGCGAGACGACGAAGCCGACAGCCGAGCCGGTCTACTCGCAGGTAGCCAAGGTTTGTTTGTTTCCACATAGCACTCAGTCTTGACTATTCGATCTCATTGATCTTTCACATCGGCGCGAGGAAGAAGTGCAACGGCGCGATTACGATAATTGAAGATAATTTTTTTCACGAAACAAATGCTCAGAGATCGCCACAAGAGACACCTCGAAGACATCAATTAAATTCGCGCCTTTGTGCCTCGTTCTAAAGCCTGATATTTGATACGACGAATAAAGTAAGCAGGCGTTTCAATACGTGCTATTATATGTCAACAAAATAATCGCACGCCTGCTTATCCGAAAGATTCAACTGAACTTTCCTAATTGATAAAAAGTTTGCGTAGTTATACATGTGAGATATGTAATCTGATTTGACGATATCTTGACCAGATGACATTACAAAGATACTTTTGGTTCCGTGACAATTGGAGAGAACCGCGAAATATAACTTTAAGAGATTCCACTACTTGGATCCGATTGAGTCACAGTTGCGTTCTGTCGATTCCTTCATTCAGGCGGCAGCGTCGCGACGAAAGGTCTCGCGATCCGAGCGAGAGGAGACGTAGCGAGACCACCGCCATCGATTACCTATCATACTTTAGCGACCGCCCTTTCTGATTCGGCCGACATATCCTCTAATCTGTTTGGCAGTTCGGTGGAGGACATGACGCTATTGCCGCCAAGCGGGTTCAGCGACAGCCGTGAATTGAGCGACGTGGAGTGCGACCGTGATCGTGATCGCGAACGCGATCGTGAGTGGCAGAGTTTGTCGGCCGGGACCCGTCACGGCGGCAGCCTGGGTAGACTCCCGATCGAGGCCGTCGAATCTATGCTCGCTAGGTATCGACACGAGTCTCCGTAGACCAGGCATGTCAAACACCAAGCGACTGAGGCCGGTCGACACCGGAGAAATTTTACCGTCTTGCCCGTATACAGAATGCGTTAGGCCAAACGTAGCAGAACGACGCTTCTTTGCATATGAATAATTGTCAATAATATCGCAAACATGTTGTATATCTAATAAAATTAAAATTTTAACTGTAATCATCAAAGTTATTAACATAGAAGCTGAGCAAATCGAAGTGTCTTAAGGCATTCTGTATAAAATTGAGATATCGTCAATTTCTGTTTGCGAGAAATTACTGCTCGGTTCAATCGCTCTCAAAACGTTTGGAAAGTAATCGATACTCAAGGAACGCTGTTAATTGATAATCGTATTATGTATCTTTGACAAGAGATCGTTTGTTGCAGATATCAGCAAAGGAAGGAGCAAGAAAGACAAGAGTTCACTATACATGTATGATCGAGATTCGCTGGTTCGACTTGGTATCTTCGCCGGACGATATAACGTTGTTTAGAAAGAGACGAGGAATCACCTCTCCTCGAGAGATCATTCGTCGTTGGCGGGCATTTTACGGAATCTTAATGAAGATGGTAGTTTAATGTATCGTAAGGACAATTCACAACCGATCGACGACGGAGAGTGACAGAAGACTCACAGTTCTATTTGTTGAAGAGATGTGTTAACTACCGACCTGCGTTGCGCAAAATACTGCCGTTATTATACATAACAAAAACATGGCCTTCGTACGTAACCCTGTATGCACTACTGTAAACGGCGCCGAACGGCGAGAGAAAGAAGAATGGCAAACCTCTCGTTTGCGGCACAACCCCCATACATACATACATACATACATACATACATACATACATACATACATATATACATAAATACATATATGCATACATACATATATATATACATCATACATACATACATACAAACAGACATACATATATACATACATACACGCACATGAGATTAATCGAGAAACAACGGAAAACACTCGACGACTAACTGTGCGTTTTTGATAGCATTTATTCTTTCTATCGCCAAATTACGATTGTATTGTATTATTATACGCAACGTGATTGCGATAAAGAAAGTCTGATTGACCGATCCATTACTTTCGCGACGACCAATTACTGATATACAGGGTGAACGCCAACTACCGCAACGAGTATCTCTGCTTTACTTACTGCGATTTACTTATTAACGAGCCATTCAGTGTGCGAATCTAGGGATGACCAATTATCAGGAACGAGTATTACATTTTAAAAGATTTTAAAGACGCTGCAGCGTGCGCGGCGCGTTACGTGTTACTCACCATAAAATAGGTCAATTAAATGAAAGAAAGCAACAGAGGCATATATATTCGATGAAATTCCAGTTTCAATTTCGAATATCGAATATTGATTTTCAAATTTCCTCATATTTCTTTCGATAATGTTTGAAATACATACATACACATATATATGTGTGTATATATGTATATATGCGTATGCTCATCGCGTGAAAAAGTGCAATACAATTCGACAGTACTAATTTTGAAAATCGACTTTTGATGACTGATTAATTTTTTTCTAATAGTGCCAATTCTAACAAAACTGTATAGTGTTAAGGACATCATGAGAAAGATTTGGAATAAGAAGGATGTACGTTTGCTCCTTCATGCCCAAAAAGAAAAAGAGCCGAACGCTCTAAAGCGTTATTATTAAATTAGTATCTACGAGCCGATCACACATTCGAACGAGCGACTAGCGCCTTAATTGTGTAAATAAATTTAAAACGGCTCCTCAAGGATTTATCGACGTGATCGAATAAAATACGCTATTGATTATGGGATATCACTCACGTGTGCGCAGAGACAGAATCGTAGTATCTCCGCAGACAGGATCGAGAATCGTAGAGCAATTGTAGAATGATCGACGAAGCTGTAGAGAGCTCCATTCCCCGTCGGAAATCCCCGGCGCCTCGTTTTCCTTTCGAAGATCTCTTCCGCGACATGAGACTGACGTTAACCGAGTACGCTTACGTTGATGTCTGCCAAAGAAAGTAAATAATTAGTCGCGTTTCGCCGAGGCGACATTTCCAATTGTGCTGAAGAGAAAGCATGCAATAAGCGCGCACGACAATTTTAGTCTTGTTTTATCTCTCGTTTTCTTTCCCTTTTAAATAAAGAGAGACAAGACTCGAATGACTCGCTTAGTATTATCTCATGACTGTTTTTATTAAGACGTTATTAATGCGGATAAGTCTCATAAGTAATTTATGGAAATTCACGGCGTGCGTCTTCTATTACCTTACAGCGTTATCGCATAGATGCAATATGTACATAAACGAAATAATCTTCGAGATGAGCGTGTACGAATGCACGTTTATTTCGGAGAACGGAAATATGCGCGAGAAAATATAGCGAGATTATTGCGATCGGAATCGTAACATCATACCACAAGAAAATGGATGAATCGAAAGGAATCGACAAAAAAAATGTTCTATAAAATTGGATTTCCCGTCTTGAAACTCAGGAAAAATTTAAAAATGGAGGATGAACGATCGTTGACTCCTCGTAATTCATCTATTTTCAGCAGGATAAGATCGTTTGAATAATTTAGAGCAAATACGATACGAAATTATATTGAAAGAGAGGAGGGAGAGTACCGTGCGTGTGTTTCAATTTGCCGCGTCGTAAAAGTAACACTGTTCATTCAACGGTCGGAATAAATGCAAAATATATATTGCCATTTCGAGGAGTAAAAATGTGTGTAAATGTCGTAATTCAACATGCGAATGAAACCGTCAAACGAAGACTGTCTGAATAATTAGAGAAAATGTGAAATGAGAGATGAAAATTATACGCAAAAAGAACCGGTAAAAACCGCATTTTGGACATTTCGATAATTCTGGAATTTGTATATGCCGAAGGAACGGTCTCCACTGAGACATATGTATACATCTACTGACAAAAAAAGAAATAAAAAGAAGAAATACGGTACGGTAGAACTTCAATTAAACGCTGATTTCGTCAAATCGACCAGAATTCGCATGGGTTTCTGTGAATCTTTGCTTTGTCACTCTCTATCTCCTTTCAATCGACCCACCTCTAGCCTCACTCTTTTTCTCTCATTCTCCCTCACAGATCTTCTAAATTATGGCTCCTGCACACAGAACGCGGTAATGCTTGCCATTAGATTTTGTAAGATTTTCTAAGCTACAAGCGTTAGATTAATAATATAGAGTACGGGAATACCTATTTGCGTAAGGAGCTCGAGGATTCGGAACGATCGAGTGAGAATTTCCAAAGGATCTGCAGGAGAAACTGGTGCTCCGAAAAAAATGCCTCGCTGCTGTAAACGCGAACGCGCGGTTATTTTAGAATTACATTCAAACTTAACCCTTCCTCAAGCTTCGACCAATCAGATGCGGCATATAGAAATGATAGCGACACATAGCGGAGACTTTGGAACTACATTTCGAAGCAACAGCCAATTAAATTAGACCCGTTAAAATGCGTCTAAAATGGACTATCTAGTGCCATCTATTAGAATCAAACATCAATTCATCGGTCGAATATCGTTCATCCTTCTTCAACTTCTTGACATCTATTTCAACGACGCGCATGGCTGTCATTCCACCAAGGCTCATTCTGTAGATTCGGTTGTAGAAAATCACATTCGGAGATTGAAAACAATTTGTTATCCGTCTGTCAGAAGTGCACTATTAGAGAGCCGAATTTCTGTTGATACGCACGATCGCGCGACGTTGGAACGTGTTGTGAATTAGTCATTAATTGTGCCCTTAGCGCGTACAGTTGGCCGCGCGCGAGTTGCCGGAGCAATTTGTGAAATAAACGTGTGGCAGAGTTCAAGTATCTCATTATGTGCGCGAAAATGGCCTTTCAGCATCAGCCGGGCACTGCGATGGAGTGCCTAAGCGTACGTATTCTTGAATTACGTTATGTAATTGTCATCTGTAATACCATACACACCCATCATTGTCAGAGGAACAATGCATTGATTTGATTATAGATACCAATCACATTACACAAGGAAACAGAAATTAACGAGAATGGTGAAGAAGTAATGAAATGTGGCTTCAAAATAGGCGGTGGGATTGATCAAGACTTTACAAAGAGTCCTCAAGGCTACACGGACAATGTAAGAGATATATAATATATGATGACTACATATACTTTATACACATATTTATTTATATTATTTTTAATATAACATAGAAGAACCTGTAAGTTTAAAATTTTTTTTAGGGTATATATGTGACAGAAGTACATGAAGGATCACCAGCAGCAAAAAGCGGTCTTAGAATGCATGACAAAATCTTACAATGTAACGGATATGATTTCACGATGGTCACTCATAAGAAAGCTGTTTCTTATATAAGAAAACATCCAGTATTAAACCTTTTAGTAGCCCGTAAAGGTGTCACCAGTACTTAAGGTATACCAAAAGAAATTCTGTTCTTTGAGAGATATTTATTTCATATACCATTTCTTTTGGACAAGATTTGCCTATTCAATCTATTGTTTGCCAAATATTATTACAGTAAATAATAGCAACTCCTATCTAATAATTAACATATATTGAAGTTAGTTCAGTATGAAATATTATCAAATGATATAACTGAGACAAATTGAAATAGTTTCTCTATTTGTCTCATAACTATAATGAGTAAAAGTCACTACTTCAAACTGACTATAAAGATCTGTCAATATCTTTATAGTGCAGTATGAAGGAGTCTAAAAAGAGAGATGCCAAAGCATAATTGCAAAGTTGCATTAACTTGCATATATCTTTAACTATGAAGATATGGGTTGTTGACATTCTTATTTTTTCAATGAGGATACTGTGAGAAACTAGTATCTGTCTAATTTAATTTTTTTGATGCATTTATACATTACATCTATAATAAGAAAAAAAATTGTCCCATAGCTTTATAGTCAAAGCCCGATACATAATAGGCAACATCAACTTTTATAACTATATAATTTTTAAGTTCAATTGTAGCAAAAAAAGAGGTTTGGTGGTTTTATGAGGAATGATAGTTGAAAATTTCGAAAATTTCAAAATATTTATACATCTTGTTCTAAAAGAGAGAATTATTAAAATATAACATTTGTTAAAAAAGTTTTTGTAATATCTATGAATAGTAGTTATTAGTTATTTTGATATAATACTTATATTTTTATTATTATCACTATTGTGATAAATTAATCTAATTAATCTATCTTGCGACTATAATGTTTTATATCTAAAATTGAACTGGTTAAAAAGCAACAATTGGAACATTCCAAACTATCTCTCTAATACATTTTCAATGTGTAATATATTATTTAATATGAATAATCTTCTGATTAGAGATTAAGTTTGTCTGCAAGGTAATATTGCACATACTCACCTAACATAGTCTCATCTATTAAAAGATATTGGAAGATATCTTGTAAAGAGCGATGAAAATAATATATTCATATATGATTTATCCTAACTTTTTATCAGAACACACAAATGAAGATATATATAATTTATTATTATACAAATATTATTATGTATAAACTGATTGTACTTTCAAACATTTCTTTAGGATCAAATTAGATAGGGAATATACTGAAAAAATCTACAAATGTATAAGGTTTTTCTTAATTCACATCTTGTTACATTGTACTTCTTACAGATTTTTAGTCAGTAATTATGCTACGAATAGTAGATACATTATACAGCAATATAAAGCAATTTTTGTACTTCGTCTCTTTGTTTTTATCCAAAGGGCGAATTTTTTATATATTTTGTAACCTTTTATACTTACTATAGAAGATATAAAAATAATTTTTTATTTTATCTCATATATATATATTTTAAAAGTACGATAATCACACGGAAAAAATTGAGAGTTCCTGCATGATTTATGTAAAGATATATACCTCTTGGAAACTGTGTGTTACATATGTATATACCCTAGTCTAATAATGTCAAAAATACAGAAATGTTTCATGTTGGTATATATACAATATGTGCATAAAATGTGCGGGTTACAGAGCAAATATCCCCTATGCTGTATGAATTGTAGAATACAGTTGTTATAAAAAAAAACCAAAGAAATTGTTAAAACTATTCTTATTGTATTTTATTTATCCTAATCTGAGGGTTCCTTCCATGTGTATTATTTATAAATAACAGAAACGGGTTATTTATATTGAGTAATAAACTTGCATAAACATAAAATTTTATTTTTATTGCCTTGAACTTGTATGACAATAGGAGTAACGACGCTACTAGCATTTACTAGCTACGTGTCACTACATTATGCGATGTTTTAAATCAGTGGTGTGTTGTCATCTTATTTGTTCTCTAAATCACAATATCATGTTATATAATTTCTAGTCGCAAAGAAGACGCGTATTGCACACTATTAGATAATAAGAACTTCTATAAACTTTTTTTTCTATTACCTCGAATAATTCGTGCATATAAATTTTACAAATTCATATACATTTTATTTCTCATTTTCTTCCTCTCTATATGCAATATAATGACGTGCTACATACTTCACATGCCAACTATTTAACTATATTTTAAAACAGCAAATTGGATCCTAGTGATGAATAACCAGTGAATGCAATATTCTTAATTAACTCTCTTTGTCTAACAAGTATAATTTCTGATATCATATCAAGTGGCCGGCCATACAATTTCGTTATGTTATTCTAGTAAAAACATATCTGTCTTCTGTCCATCCCAAAAATCTCCATTTGAAAAATATGTTGTTTCCTTACTTGAACTATTGGTTGCAATCAGTAATCATCAAGACAAAATTTGTTAAGAACACGTTGGAAGAATGTTTCTATTCATTAATATAGTTGATTAATAAATAGAGCATCTGTAATCCTACAAATTATGTCTTGGAGATTATGGACAGTCTCATATAAAAGCTTTCTTTGCTTATACTTCGATATCAACATCGAAAGTATATGAGCATTTTCAACATTGTTCTTATATTATTCCGATAATTGACTATAGTTATTTACAATATTTATATATTATGAATATAATATCTTGCGTTTTAGAATTAATTTTCATAACTTTAGTTGTTTTAATCTTCGTCGGCTTTCAAATAACTTATATACATATTATGCTTATTAAATTAATGTATTCTTGCTAGGCGTGCTACCTGAAAATTAACAATAACACATTTGAAGTATTATCTCCTTGTCAAAGCAATTATCCATATTTAATGATTATTTCATAAATTGTATTCTGTAATAGTATATTGTTGTCTCAAAATTAGTTTTCTCTTATTATAATTTATGATAATTCGTTCTTTTAGTTGTACTAAATGTATTCTTCATTAAACATTTTGGCACACAAATTATTAAATATATTGCATGTGTTTATTAATTTTTAGGCAGCTATTTTTCCTAAACTTGAAAGCGTCATCACAACGTTTAAACGTTTAACTTAATCTATATATGTTACTATTTATTCTGGTGAAATTCTAATGTAATTCGCTAATGCTTTGTATGCTACATTAAAAGATTCGTGGAAGTATGCGAAAAATGGACTAAATGCGGTACAATGTGTTCTGTCAATCAGCGATGGAATGTTTCGTTATAATTCTACAAAAATTCCTATATATGTTCTTTCCTTTTCAAGATAAGTTACGAGTAAAATGTAATTTCACAAAGGAAGAACATTTTTTCGTTATTCGAGTTCTTTATATATAAATATATATGTATATATAAATTAATATACATTAATTACAACTGCGTACTTTGTAGTACTATTCACCTTAGAGCTGGAAATTACAATGCGTTTTTGTTGTAATGCTCAATTACTTCTTATATTGTAATATGATTTATCAAATGTATAAGATTTTATTTTGAGATCTAGTTTATATACGAAAATAATGTTTAAAACAGACAACATTATTATACACTGTATCAATGTTTAACAAGTATAATATGATAACATTGGCTATGCAATTACTGAGGTGAGTATTTTAGGCTTGAGAATTGGATTCCTGCAGTAGTTTGGACTTGAAGTATATATGGAAGTTACCGCGCGAAGGAATGAAAGATAAATTATCAAAATAATTAAAATTCATGTCACACCTTAACCCCTTTAAACATAATTATGAGATTTATGTCTTCATAGCATATCAAATGATGATAATAAAATCACACTCAAGTTTCCTGCATTTCAATGTTTATATCCATTGTTTTTCATCTGGATAAAGACGAACTAGCCTCTGATCTTCCGCTTATAGCAGACTGCAAGCTCATCATTGAACCCCTAGAAGAAAAATAGTTAGTAAAAATGTAGATACATAATTATATATATATTATATACATAATTATATTATATATAAAATATATAATATAATTCTATATATATATATATATATATATATATATATATATATATAT